CAGCCAAAAGAAAAATGAATAAATAACATGCTTCAGTAAGTTTATGCTTCTATTCCCTGTGCACAATTGTTACAATGCCTTTACCTCAAAATCTACCCCAACAGGACCGATTAAACTGAAGAATGTGGGTGAAATCTGGCTCACTGCCTTGTTGAATACAGTCTGCCTGCTGGAAGAATGAGCAGTTTTTATGACATGTGTACTCCTTCCCCATATGCTCCCCCGGCTCGTCTGCCATTAGTGTTTAAGTACATGGGGGAAAGCAACTGCCTCAAAACAAAACGAGCCCAATCTCCACCAGTTCCACCCGCGGGACACCGACTAGTCCCGCTGCGGTGCTGTAGTGGCAGGCAGCAGCGCGTAGGTCTTGTACAGGAAACAACGACTGCAACTGTGGTCCTAAGAGAAACGGCCTGCTTCTAATTACTTTAAAACTTCAAAAACATTTTAAAATCTTTATGGCTTCAACTGAAGCATATTAATAACTGAAGGTGAGAAAAGATGAATTATTCATGAATGTCACCTCAGGATGTTCCCAATTTTTGATTGAGGTAGGCTGGCATAAAGCTATGGGTTACTTGCTCCTCTTGCTCCCTTGCTCAGAAACAACCCCAATGTTTTAAGAAAATTGCTCCATCCTCCCTCCATTACTTCAGGTGATCTTCAGGAAAATACTCTGCAGAAGTTAGGTAGTTATGGCAAAGAAGCTGCATAATAATGAACACTGATGGCTGGTGATCCAAGAGCGTAAGAGTGGATCTTAAAATCACTCTCCCAAACAAGACTAGATACACAGTTATTTTAAAACACACTTAACTACATACAGAGCTGGATGCTCAGAAATTGCTAGAGGGAAAACGCAAAACAAATGCCATTTCTGAATTAACTGAATTACTTTTCAAATAGGTCACACTTGCGTATATTTGCACCTGGTATGTCATCACAAAAGTGCAAATAAGAGATGAGATATTGAGGCAAATACGCTCCAATTCTTCCTTATAAAAACAGCCTATTGAGACAGAATCAGGATGAAGACACTGTCACTTCTCCACAGACTACAGAAATTCCACTTTGATATCTGGCACTTAGCTTCACAGGTCTGTACTTGTGACTTGGAAATGCAGATGAACAGTCTGATTTTAAGCATATGATACAGAGGGTTATGCAGACAAAGAGCAGCCAAGCAGTCTTGCACGGTTTGTTAACCCGAAGGGAAAAGAAAAAGACGGGAGAAAAAAAAGAATAGTAAGAGTTTTTCACGTATTTGAAGAGGTATCACTGGGAAAGATAGCCAACTAAACATAAACTTAGGAGTGGTTTTAGGCACAGTCCAAACAAGGAGTCTAAGGTAACAGATGGAAGAAAGCTGAGCAAACCTCTGGCTATCAGCACCTACATCCACCATCCTACTGTGGCAGCACAAGCTGCAGGAGAGACCGAAGTTAGCTTTCCCAGCACCTTTGCCCTTTTTGTTAAGGCAGAGACTGCAAAGATAGTACAACAAAGAAATTCAATTTGCGATTAAGAATTCTTGAGATGACTCTGCATCTACCCACTGCTACAGACAACCAAAAAGTGCAGCTGTAAGTTCAGATCCATTTGGGACAGCCACAGAATCAAAACAGTTACCATCTTAAGAAACCTCAGTGGCGTGTATTACAGCAATTTAGAAAAACCCCACTGTTTTCCTACATCCAAAATTCAGTAGATGATAAAGCTGACCTGAACAGATTCAGGCTCAGATAATATTCTCACCCTAGCTCCAAAATCACATCATTAAAGCTCCTGCCTCTGATTTGTGAAGACCAATGCTCAGTAATGACAGCTGGCAATATCTCACCTGGGAACCAATCTTATGCACAAGAGGGTCTGACAAATCTCACAGTCCTACTGCAGGGGTGGGTGTCTCAAGGGAAGTTGCAGCTTGAATTTAACTCAACAGAACTAAGGAAAACTGGTCTGCTCCTTGGTAGAAGTAAGACAGCTTGAACTGAAAAATGATATTCCCTGACTGCCAAACTTAAGCCACAATAAGTAATATCTGCTGTTATAAAACAACCACAAAATAAGGGAAAAAACCAAACCCCCTTATTTTAAAGAATTTTCCTGATGACAGAATTCCCAGGCTCCCTATCCCAAGCCTCAAGCAGATGATCCTTTGGTTTTGATCAAAGTGAAGGAGTTCAACAGGCTAGACTAAGAGCTTTAAACTCTAGAATGTGGAACTTTCATCTAACCACTTCAAAAAAATAGAGCACACGGTTGTACCAGCCCACAACCTGGAAACGTCACAGAAGACAGTAATGGGTCTGAATTTCCTGATGAACACGTGCTACCTTCAGTTCTTGCTCAATGAATAACCTGACACATAAATGGCTTAGAAATCATCACTGACAAGGAAGTGTGTTTCATTTGTTAAAGAGTCCTGCAGAAACTACGTAGGAAATTTGGAAAAAGGTATCTCCTTACAGTGGAAAAAGGATCCTGTTTTGCATCAAAACCCAAGTGACTTATTTGAAAGCAAAGTAATAAAGCAGGCTTTCTAAAGGGCTGTTGGTTAAAGCGGGGAAAAAGAAATCTCATGGTATCATATAAGCAGTATTGGATTCAATCCCACAGACAGAAAATAGTCACAATGTCAACATCCCATTTTCAGGTCCTGAATGAATAAACGTACACAAAGTTTCCATGCATCTCGTGTCCTTAAACTCAAATGAGAACCCCCAAATACAGAGAATCAAATATATTTTCTATGGGCATTTTTATTTCTCAAATACTCTAATAAGTTAAAAAAAAATGAAAATATTTCTGTAGTACCTGACTCTGAAAGAGACCAACTGCTCTGACCAAGAGGCTCAAAGTACAAATATTTACATCACTGCAACATACTCATCCTGGTGAATATTCTATCAGAGACTTTAGAAGCATCAGAGACCTCAGTCCAGTAGTAACAGCATTCTCGATATACATCCCAGCAGCGTGCAAATGTATTTTAAACTCCGCACAAACTTTGCAGGATGTTACTGTGAGTAAGTTACACATAAGTAACCAAGCTTTCAGATCCAGCAATCAAACACTAGTACAGACAACAGCAGACTAAATTATGGGACTGTTCTTTATGGCCCATCCTCAGAGATCAACTACAGCCATGGGCAAAGACTAGAAATCTTAATTACTTCAACAGCCGATAACTGGCATAGCACCAAGTGAGATTGTTCACTGGTATTAAGAACATGAAACACTGGAGCCATCACAATCTTTCACGGATTCAGACTGTCTGGAGGTTTATCTCCATATTTCAGACTATCTTCTTATGAAAATCCAGCTACAGCTAAGCAGTTTCAAAACCCAAAAGCCACTCAGGTCCTCCTCATAAACCAAGCCTAGAGAGCAGTAATTAGACCATTCTCATTGTTATTCCCAAAAGAAAGAATGAAATTTAGCTAATCTACTAAACTTGTTGCTTTTTAAGTAAACCACCTAAAGGAATAACTTCTGAAGACTGTTTGCACACAACTTCAGATGTGCCAACTCAGAGGGCACCAGAGAATCCTTATAACTTTGTGCAATTAAGAAAAGTACAAAAAAAATCATGCTAGATTCTCAGCCAAATGAGTGGCTGGGGATCTGCAAGTTTTTGTTAAACAGCATCATCATATGTGATTTTTCTGGACCTCTGTCATCAGAAATGGTCTGACACACGCAGCAGTGTCCCAGAAGATCAAAGGTACTAGATGTGTGACATGAAACTCAACCAACAGCCACAATCCAGGTAATACAGGAATAAAACTCACTACAAAATTCTACTTCAGAGACTATCGGCTGTGCTCATACAATTGACCTGGCCAAGAGGAACTAAACCACTTGAAGATTTGTAAGGTACCAAAATTAATTTATTTGATGCTAGGTATTGAGCTTTGTTGACTCATTTGATTCATTTCACTGGACATAAAATTCAGTGATTAAAACCAATTTTACAGCTGTTTATATTGTGCATCAGGCACCTTCAAACAAGTGGCTTCTTGTAAGCTGGGCTAAGACACAACATGAGACACAGCTGACAAGTCTCAGATACGTGATCATCCACTTCTACTACACAATACACCTGCTGAGAGCATCCAGCCTTAGCAGTAAATGCAGAAAACACCCACATCTTTAAACAAACTGCACTAATTAAACGTGGCTTACTAAGGTTCCTGGTACTAGATTGATCTGGAATCATGAGCAGTTTTAGAATGGTAGCAGCAAACACCCCCACCAGCCTTACCACCTCATTGGTAAGTGCCAAAGGCTCAGCATCAAATAAGGTCTTCTTATGGAACTCTGCATTGGGCACAGTCTCATAAGTTTTGCTAGAAGCAGAGACATTACAGAGTCATTACAAGGGTTTTAGGCTAACAAATCCAGAACTAAATCTTGATTTGCATGCTCTTGGTATTTCTTGCTAAGATATTTCTAAACACTCAAAATATATAATTTCTTCTGTGTTCTTCAACTAAAGAAACTTGCTAATTACAGTGAATTAGTCACTGATGAGAAGAAAAAAAAAACCAACAACAAATGCTTAAAAGGACATTGAGTACAATTACGTTGCTGCACTTCTGGTAGTCAAGGATGAAAATACAGGATGGCTAACTTTTAATTGTATACAGTAGTGTCCTCCAAAAGCAGAGGAAAGCAGAAAAGGAAGTGGACTTTAACATGTAGCAGATTACAGGGTAGGAATATGCATACTATCAAAAATTCGGAATAATTCTTTCCTAATTAAATAAAACTTTGTCAACTGAAGCAGAAGCAGTGGAAAACATGCACTGGGACATTATACTCACTACTTGGAACTTCATTAAGCAAAGCAGTCTGCCACAGACACTAACTGTCACAGCACACAAACACACATGTAAGACAATTTACTCATTTAGTAACTTGTGTATTAAAGAATTTGAAGTGATTGTGTCTCTGCACTTCTATTTGCACACAGCCCCAGGTTTCAAGATACATACACTTTTGTTTCATAGTCCTTCCAAGCTTTATCAAAGGGTTTTTTCAGGTCCTATCAAGAGATAACGAAAAACACAGTTATTTACATGAAAAATTCTGTAGATCTATCCTGTGTCCTTCCTAACAGTGAAGGCACATCTTGGCCATTCGCAGCATCTACTAGAATAAGGGACTCCACTCTTTCTTGAACAGCTCACCTAAGGATTGTGTAAAAGCAATCTTGCACACAGGAAAACAACAGCTTGTACACAGAATTAATATACTCGTGTTTTTAAAACCATCTCTAGGATGCTTTTTACAACTCCATTTTACTCCTTAAAAGGTATAACCACATGTCATCCCAAGAGCACACTATGCAATTAATCAAATAGGCTATTTTCTCATCATGCCATCTCTGGCTCCACTGGAAAGAAGTGTCTGTCCTGAGGCTGCAGTACAACCTCGGCTAAGGACTTGATTGATCCCACTAAAGTTGAAGAAGTCATTTTCCCACTGACTTAATGGGAACAGTATAGGCCATACGTCTTGACATTAAAAATTCTCACAGAATTAGTTAATTACATATGCTCCAAATTCTTTTATTTTTTCCCCTCTGAAAAAAGCCAATTTGGATAAAATTATCTTAACATGATGTAAAATTGTTTCACTGATGTCTAAAAATGCAGCACTTGAAATTCTGCTGGAGTTCAAGAGATCAGTCAACTACAAAAAAAAATACTGTTAACTGTCAGGCACCAGGAAAACTTTGCAACTACAGATTAGGAACTAATTTTTACCTGTCAGCTAGTTATTTTGACCATTATCAAATTAATTAAGCAGCATTTGACTATCTTCTCAAGTCAGGAACACAGGGCAACACTGTATTGTAATAAAGGTATTTATTTTGACACACAAAAAAAGAATAACAAGAGGAGTGAAACGTGGTAAGCAAGCAACACAAAGATAATATGCCTATCTTACTAAATAATCTATTTATCCTCCAGCTACATACAGAGACCATTTTTAGTCTCTGTACATTTTTCTTCTTCCTTCAATGTCCTAGAACAATAGCTGCCAGTTGCTTCCTGTTTGCTCAGTACTAAACGAAGCATAAGCCAAGTAAGTTTGTTGTCTATAGCCTTTGAAATTCATTATAGCATCATTTGAGTCCCAGGTTACTATTATTTCAAATAGGAAATATCCACAGGGCACAAATAGATTTCAGCTTTGTTAAGGAAAATCCTATGCACATGCAGTCTAATGTGTCTTTCTTAATAATTTGTATAGTTCCTGATAAATTTAAAATGCTAAATAAGTGTGTTAATAATAATTCTTTAATAATGTACTATCCTCTCAACTAAGTAAATATCTACGTTTTTACACCTCTTTCTTTGCTTATCTTTTATATCTCTTGGCTATGTTTAAAGCTTCTCCAATGTTGTTTTGTATACATAGTCAAGAGCATGCTTTATGCAAAACCACAAACAGAAAGGATGACTCAATCCACCAAACAAATCCCAAACAAAAAATCTCTTTATTAAGCTAATGTTACTTTAGTATCCTATGCCTTCTATCACATGGATTAATACTGTAGCTAAATGTATTTATTGTAGCAACAACAATTTTATATATAAATAAGATAAACATACCCCTTTTACTCCTTTCAGATCTCCCTTCAGCAAACTGTCCAATGGAAAAGTGATGATGTTGTTCATATTCTGAATCTGAGCAAGAAAAATTACATCAAAACATTTAATATAAGAACATACACTGTCTTCATTCACACAAAGTTTCACAAGAAAATCTTATGTATTATATTCCTAACCCTGCTTTATGAAGGCGTTTATCAGTACAGCCAGTAATCAAAGATGGAGGCAACACAAGTTAATTAAACTTACTCTGGAAACACTATAGCCCAAGTCGTCACGAAACCTGCAAAATCACTGCTGCTGCTAAATATCTCATCCAACAGTGACTGCAAGGAAGACCACTGATTTTTACATACCCCAATTTCACTGTTTAAATTGTATGAAAATAATCATACAGTTTTTCAGCACTTACATATTTTAAGTTATTAAATATATTTTAAATTAAGCTTGTTCATTTTCCTAGTCTCTTCAGACCAATTCCAAAAAACCTATCTGCTACTTTCAACACATGGCATCTTACTCTGACAGAAGTTACAAAGACAAAGAATGCTGGCCTGTAAAAAAGCTACTATTCAAGTATTTTCCATGTAATTTTAATGAAGTAATACATCAGCCTTATTAATCTCATACAAATGTTGAAATACGGATTTTACGAGTTCTTGAGTATGCAAATAATTAAGGAATAAATAAGTAATTCAAGAAGGAAAAAATAATTTCAAATTATTTTGTTGAAATTCAAATTTCAACAGTAAAATAATCACAGTTTTAAATAAGTATCTGTATAGTAATATTTTGATGAGGAAGAAGACTGAAGAAAGAATGTAGGAATAAAAAAGTAAGCAGCATACACTGGGAAAATAAAGGCTTCCTGTTCAATCCTTTATCATTCAGGGAAAATGACCCTTATCTTGAACATGAGGTCTAGGCAGAGAGTTTAGACTCTAACAATTCAAATGGATTGCACTGAAGAGTAAAACATTTTAGAAATATCTGACAGAAAAAAAATCAGAATAACTTCTGCTTTGGATGGGTTTATAGATATATATATATATATTTTTTTTTTAATGTTATCGTTCACTGTTCATTTAAAATGTGATTTTTTTCAGAAGCATTGAAATGCCTATATGAAGATGGATTTCAAATGTTCAAAATAGAGAAAGAACTTTGCGTCATGTAGCAACAAATTCTTCTGTTTCTTCAAGAACAATGTCAGCAACACCATATTCCCTTTTAGTGGAGCCCATCGAGAGAAGAAACAACACTAACAGGAACGTTAAGAAAAAATATCTCCAATTGTGATCCTTCAGCCTCCCCAGAATGGAAAAATACAAAACTTTATCACCCTATAGTTACTTGGTGGCCTCACTAGAACCGACTTAGGTGTCCCATCCCCAGTTGTACTCAACAGCTGCTATTAAAACAAAGCCCCGAACCCCCAGCTCTTCCTCTTCAAAGATACTCTTGGTTGTATTTGCTTAAAATTTCAGCCAACAATCAAAGAGAAAGAGAACATACATTGATTTTAAAGGTTAAACAGATTGCCTCTGCATGGAAGGTTGAAGAATAGAGAAAAACTGGTCTTTTAAACTCTTACCACAAATCACATTTCTCCTCCTCTACCTTATCCTTCCTCCTCCCCAAAAAACTGCATGACTCAATCACAGAAATCCCTTTAGAATCAACAAGTTAAATTTCAACTCTGTGTGATTTTGGTTTTTTTTGTTTGTTTTTTTTTTTAATAATTCCTATAAAAATCAAATGACCAACACCTACGCATGCACAGCTGGCAGCACTGGAAGCCATTCACCTCCCAGGTTCTCTGCTGTACTACAACATCTTCATTATCAATACAACCATGTTCATAGCTGTTAAAATTTTATGTTGTAGACATAGAAGACAAGTGAAAAGGTTTAAATCACACAAAACATAGGTAAAAAACCCAAAAACTTCTAGAAGACAGATGGAACATGTGCACTTACGGACACACATATCCAAAATGTCTATCCAGGTGGAGAAGCAGAAGAGGTCTCATCTAAGATACAATCCTATGCAAAGTTTTCTACTTTGTTATTCTATTTTAGTAGTATGATACAGTTAAATGTCTAACCACCACTTTCATAGCCTCCCTTTAATTATTCTTCAAATTCAGATAAACAGGCACAATGCAAGAATAAAGCATTTCTCAACAGCACACTAAAGACAACTCTTTTTTCCTTAAGTCAGAAAAGAAAAAATGTCAGACTCTGAAGTATTATCCCAGACATATTCATATAAACATCAATCAGCCTCCAAAACCATCCTGGATGTTTCTTAGAATATCAAGTTTTGGGGCTTGAAGTCCAAGCAACTTTAAAAAGAGAATAGGAGAAAAAAAAAATTTTTTTTTGTGTTTTTTTTTTGTTTTTTTAAATTTGGAGGACGTTTGCCTGTTCAAATTAATTCCTTCTTTGTGCTATCACCTGTATGTTACTATCAGCCTATTGTATTCCCTATGTCCTATTTTATTTGCAACAAATGTAAACATCCATAATGCATGAGCTTGTCATTATTAACCTAGTTAGATGAGTCAGACTTGCTTGTATTTATAAAGCAGCAAGAAATATAACAAAAGTCTTGCATGTTTTTCCCCTCTTTCTTAAGTAAGCTGAACTATCTAAAAATGTAGACCCATTTTTTGGCACAAAGAGAAACATTAATATGCTGCAGCTCCTACTCTGTGTGCATATAGGGACCTAAAATGTATTCAACTGCCCCTACATTTTGACTATTTTATATTTTAAAATATTCTTTAAGAAGAAACATGCACAAAGTGCAGAAAAGCTTCACCAAAACTCAAGTCCTCCTGTCTCTGAGGAACACCAGCAAGTTCCATGTGGTAAAAAAACCCCAAAACCAGTAGTTTAAAAAATAAATAGTTGACCTGGTTTCCACTCCAACACTGCTCTTTGGCAGACTGGCAGTTTTCCTCTGATGACTTCGAACAAGATGACAGAGGCAGGGTAATAAATTAAAACTTCCTAAGCTGGAGAAGGCTCAGAGGAGGAGAAGAAATGGCAGGAGGGGGAACATAAAAATAAACAAATATGTATCTGCCAGAAGCAACGACAGAAGCAACAGGCAAGCCAACATTTGCAAAGGGGAAAGAAGATTTTCAAGTAGTTGAAGAGCCTATGGCTAAACACTGAAGCTGGTATTTGCAAGCCCTCCAAATGACTTCAATGAGTCTTTTCCAGAACAGGCTGTAGTACTTCAGGGATTTTTTTTTCCAAATTCTAGGAGGAGGGAAACTCCAACAAACAAAAAACCTACAACCAAACCAAAACCAACACAAAAAACACCAGAACTTTTCACTGCTTGAATAGTTAAATACTTTTCTTAACACAGGGATAAACAGAGCAGATCTTAAACCATTTTCAATTTAAACTAAAATTCAGACAGCCAAACAGTGTATGACAGGACTCCTATTGCCATGACTAAATTCTAGATGCAGTACATGTTCTTGGCTATGGGCTCCTCAACCACCAATGAGCTCAGGTGTGCACAAGTGATGGCAGTACTGCCTGCTGGTGAATCACTCTTTAACCTATTTTCATTTTTTATGGCAAGTACTAATGGATTTAATACTTTCCAAGAATTATCCCAGTGATGTGAACTTTAGTAGGACAAGGCCAATCAACACAGCATGGAGCAACTGGAAATCAGAACGTCCTCTATAGACAAGATGCAGTTTGTCTGTCTGAACGTTAAGCTTCAGCATTTATAAATGCCTTCACACAAGATAATTGAGTATTGCCACCAAGTATGAAATGGGAAGAGCCCCTGTACCACCACCAATACACAGACTACAGGCTGGGAACTTCTCTATTAGGACGTGCAAGTGCAAAATGACAGGAAATACATTTTTAGAGGTATTTTAAAAAACTCTTCCCTTTATGCTTTTAAAGCAAAAGAAGAAAGAGACTTGAGGTTTTTCCAGCCCGTCTTCCTTGCCAGTAGAGAAGAATTCCCAATTGCACGCTTTCTAACCTAGGTTAAAACACCTAAGTGGTAAGCTTCCATCGTTTTACCTGGGACACTTCATCTAGTATTTTCAGAATGAGGTCTCACTTACATGCAAATTATTATTCTGCTCTTCTACAATCTGAGTTTCAATCTGTAAAGCAAACTATATAGTTCCATTTCTTCTAAGTTTTCCTCATAAACCAACCCTGGTAATTTTTTGTCACTGTTCTCTGAATTTCTTCCAGTTGGATCGGTATCTTTTTGGCATGAAGTAAAAGTAAGATTTCCAGGTGGAGATGAAACCATGCCACTAAGAAGGAATTATTACATCTTGGTTTACAACATTACAAGTGTAAATCAAACAGTACTCTTTTTTTCCTTTTCGCCATTAAGACAATTTTTCATCAAGTGTACCAGTGAAAAGCAGAAACACAGCTTAAATCATTGAGCTTCACATGTAACACTCCAGCCTCAAATATGTGTATCTATAGCTTTTTTTATGCACTTAGCTAAGATGAATCCTAAGCAAAATATGCTTGTGAAGGTTCAGACCCCAAGCGTTTTTTTAAAAACTCAGTCTGAACTACTACCCTGGAAAGAAAATTCCTCTGGGCATAAATTTCTCAAGTTCATCATACGCTACAGGAAAGAGACTTCCTTCAACCTTGTTATTTGTCGCCTTTTACGTTTAAGCAAATCTCCTTTCTTCTTACATTCAAAAAGATGAAGCAAAGCAGGAGCATATGGTCAGAAAAATATTATCACTGTTCTTCCACTTCCCCCGGCTAAAAATCCAAGCATTATTAATAGAAAAACTTCTCATACGGAATCTCGCAACTACTTTCCACAGAGAGAAAATACCAGATTCCAGTCCTCTCAATCCAGTGTGTTTCATTAACTTAAATTTAAATAAAAAGAAAGGACAAGAGCATGCAGATGAACAACAAATACAGAAAATGGAATTTGTTAAATTGCTACTTCATCTGCACAGATCAAATCCCTTTTCAAGTAGTGCTGACAAAGACGAAAGGCTTTCTTAGTCTAGCAATCTAAAAATTGGATTTAAGGAAAAAATATTTAAAATGCAAACATGCTGCAATGAGCCTTTCCTTGTCCTAACATTTTTCATATTAAGACTCATGTCTTTACCACTTGGCACTAAATATATTGGGAAGACAGAGTAATTAATGCTATATGCAAGTGCTATACAGACCTAAACTACCTGGGAACCGTGGGTGTTACCGTTCTGTCAGGAATTAACAGAGTTTACCATCAAGAAGCAGTACTGTACATGCCACACAAGGCACCATTTTACCCCTGAAAATGCCTTTAGTATTTTCTTATAGTTCACTACCAAAAAAGACAAAATTTTAGATGTGAACTGTGGAAAAGGAAAAACAAAAGTGCACAGTATACCATACACTTATCCAAAAAATGTGTTAGAAAGGCTAAACTGAGTAGTTACAAGGACCTGATACACAGTAAATGTCAGTTTATTTCTTCTTAAAGATGTGTTTTATAAATCACTTCAAATTTGAAGAACCAAAGTTCTTCAAAGCTTTTTTGTTTTATGCACTATTTCAAAGTGCACACATGAGAAAAACATAGCAAAACACATATAAAAAAAACCAAGACCTGAACTGTATTAAACCCCAAAAAACTAAAAAAACCCATCAGCTGTTAATGAAATATTTTAAACCACTAATGCCCCAGTAAGTCCACAAAACAAAGTCTTTTGGGAAACCTTTAAAAATATTAGAGAAAACCAGAACCCACCCCCTGTTAAAGTAGAACAACTTTATAGTGGCTTTTCTTTCTTTACTAAAAAGACAACTTTAAGGAACATCTTTCTGCAAAGGCACTAGAGCCACAGCTCTAAATGTCACACAGGCCTAGAGCTGACAGAACACATCAGCTTCTAGAAACAAAAGCAAAATACATGACAAAGCAAAACTTGACAGTAGGCCTAAAGTTTTGCCAGTGTTAATAGCTTTGGCATCTGCTCCAGTCTGAACATGTCCTCTCACTTCCTTGCACGTTCCCAACTCATTTCAGCTGAAATCCTCAGTGGAAGTTTAGCACCCCATGAAACTCAATGGATAGTTCTATTTAAAGAGTACCTTCCAGATTATTATTTTTTGTAACAGTGGAAAGCTGTAAGGCCCTGGCTACATTTTAGATGAAACTATTTACAACCAAAATATGCTGGGCGCTACAAGAAAACACCAGAGGAGAGGGATGTTTTTACTGCCGATATGCTTAATCAGAGTTGGATACTTCATTACATTGTAAGAATGCACGGGGCTTATTTCACATACGGCTATAACCATAAAAACAACACAGCATCCCAAATTATTTCCAACTACTGTACAGGGCTTTTTACACTAGTCATTACTCTTGTAACCTCTTAGAAAACTAGACCTCCATCAGTGAACTTACGGACAGATTTTCAAAGTGACCAGTTACCAACACTTTATTCTACTGGTATTAACTTCTAATAGGCAAAGTTACATGAAGCTGTAATTTTGTTTAAAATTCTTTTTTAATTCTAGAATTCTCATTTACAAATATGGCATTTCCAAGCAATAATGAAGTTCACATCTTTTTTTCATATGTATTTCTTTCTGGAGGAAACTTAGACACCAAATTCAAGGACCATTAGGTTCTTCTATTTCTTCAGCTTTCCTGTGTTTGTCCGGAGAAAACAAAAATCTTCAAACCTCAACAATAAGAAGCATATTAGGAAACAGCAGACCCTTAAAGGTGCCTGTCCTATTGCAGTGTAAAAACAAAACCTAAACAAATAAAACCACATTCATGTCAATGAAAAATTATTATTCACGTCAAAACCAGAGACAGTCAGAATAACAACTGAAAAAAACTAAAGACTTAGCTACTATTTCATGACATACCCTCTTATACACACAAACTGAAGCAAAAAATTCATAGTTGCTAGTGAAAAAGCAGTAGTCAGCAGAAAAAAGAATATGCCTTGGAGAAGACACACAAAATGCTTACATGGATAACAAAAGGTAATAAAAACACATATCCCACTTCCTATACATATTTGGTTTTACTTCCTTTACAGTTTGTGGAAGAAAAGTTATTCTTGTCACAAACATTTTGGAAAGATAGTGTTTTTAGGAGAACAAACAGCTAAGATTTTTGGTAAGAACAGCTACATTTTGTAGCTTTTAAAAGTCTTCTTGAAATATAATACATTAGAAGGTTTTTCTAGGGAAAGGGCGTAGCTTTTAGTAGATTGCTTTTTAAAACCACCTAAACATCACATTTCCCAGATCCATTTGCCTAATGAAGCCACCATATTGTAATTAATATATGATAGAAAAGGGTTTTTAGTCAACAGAAGGTATCAATTAGAAACCCATTCTATCTTCCCTTCCAGATGAGGAGTCTGCTTCTGTATGAGAGGCTCAGGATAACTGACTGACTGACACTTGGTAAGGATGACTCTTCTGATACATAGTATCAGATAGTATTTGTACATCCAGAGCTAGCCTAATCAATATGAGCAATATGAAATACATTTCATTGTTGATAAATACATTTGGGGCTAGACTCTCTCTCATCAATATCACTACTGGGTAAAGAGAGGACAGCATCAGGGACTGTATGGGACTGCCCTAAATCCCATCAGCTGGAAACATTCCCCAAAGAACTGACTATGACCAGCTGGCTGCAAACTACAGACATTTGGTCTAGACTCAAAAAGCATTTGATGCATCTCCAACCCATTGATTTCAGCAGGCACAGACTTTTAAAGGCTTGTAGGAATCTGGGTCATCTTCCCTTCCTAGCCCCTGGTTTACGAGTTCTGGGGGTTCAAGCAAATTTGGGATTTAATCAGACACGGGAAAGCTCCAGCTAGTAGGATGTAGTCAGAATCTGCTCTTTTTGTGCCCTCTGATTAATGTGAAATTGAGGCTGAAAATTCTCCATTCATAATTAAACTCCTATTCTTCCATTTGGCTCCATCCCATTTGGCTTACTGAAGAGTGCTTTTAAGCCTTACTGGCTTCATTTGCAGGATTGGTCCCAAGTGGATGCTACTGTCATTACAGCATTGTGGTTGATTTTGTCTTTCTGACTCTTCCCTGAGAAGCAAGAGACCCTCTCTTCCAGGGACACTAAAATCTTCCTTTATAAAGACAAACAGAAAGTGTGAAAAAGTGAAATAAAAGCAACATGAACAGAGTAAACCAAGTCGGGGTTTGCTGGTTTCAAAATTTTGAAGTACACTGATATGAGTGTTTTATAATATATAACTACTTAATTATGGGAAGCTCTTACGCAAGAATTGCTGGAAGATGGTTTTCTGCTGGGGTTTTTTTTTGCTTTTAGCGGTGCTTTGTTTTTTTGGTTTGGGGTGGGGTTTTTGTTGAGTTTTGCAATGGGAAAGGCTAGCACATGAGACATTTTCCATTTTTTAAGAACAGTGGTTGTTAAAACAGAAATTCTCTTAAACACGAAGAGCTGTTATAATTCAGAAATACAGCCTTTGTAACGGCCTTAAGATTTCAACATGTTTTTCTTAAGCAATTCTTACCAAATTTTTGAAGAGTGCAGTTAATTCCTTTGTAAACACAGAAAACTTTAAAAACGCAGTTCCCAAATCTGGGTCATCCCTGCAAACACAGTTGCCTCCAAATTTCTCCAGTGCTTGCGTATACTGTTCTTCATTTTCCACGTGAGCTTCAAAAAGAGCAAAATATTACAATATCAGCAGTAGATAAAAGGTTATTGAAATTATGACTGAGCTAAAAAAAACCCCACAAACTCAAAACTTTTCAGATCTCTTGCTAAAAATATTTACTTGATACAACAAATGTTCATTATTTATGTTTTAACGCAGATATGCCAGAAGTGTGACGTATCTCACTAACTCTGGTTTATGTGTATCTAACCACATACTGTACAAAAGACAATGTGTCATCAAGACAAGACAATCATCTGACAGGTATCCACTCTAGAAAGACCCACAATATTCCTGCAGTATACTGGAGGCCACGTAACAACTCTCAACTCCTAGAATGAACTTTCAGAGTTTCCTATTAATGTTTCTATTAACGTTATATATAACGGGAGGTGTTATGTTTAACTATGTGCTGAACAACAGAATAGAGGAGATCAAGTGTGTTGCCAGAGTCCAGGATGTCTACAACAGATCAAATAAGACTCTCAGAAGGAAATGGGACTACATACTACATTACAGACGAGGACAAAACCCGTATCTAGGTTAGCTGTCTGATTCAGAGGACCAGCGGGGACCTGAAGCAAATCTTAGCAGTCTGCATTTACCACAGGCCAGTTCAGTTCTCAAAGCAGCTTTGATTCACAACTAGATTCCTTTCTGAGACAATGAAACCAGAAGCTCTGACCCAGAAGTGGTCCAGTGCTTAACAGAAGTAGCAGGTTCTGAGTCACTGTTTGGGCTGCACCAATGCAAGTCATCCAGCACACACCTAATGCTTGGGTCCTTCAGAAAGCTTTGAGCTGAACATGTTGGGGGATTATTCTGCACAGAGAATGAGATGAAATCTAGGCTCAAAGCAAGTTCCCCTCATTCAAATACAGAAGAAATCTGAGGGGCCTACTGATTCACTCCTAGGACACCAGATTACTTGCTTGTGTGGACAGGCGTAGAAAGTCCTTGTCAATTTGACTTGTGCAATAAAAAAGTCTTCCTGAGACGAAGCTTAAAGACCATGTCAAACTTGAGCACATGGACAAAGCACACCAAGTTAGCACCTGAAAATGTTAATGTTGCCTATTTCTTATTCTAGCTGTGGCCAATTTCTAATGCTTCAAAGGTAGTCAAGGAGAAAATCCCACACCCCAGAAAACAAGTTATGCATTAATAAGAACAAAACCCCTTTCTTGATCATTACATGAGGCCAGCATAAATCCTGAAGATTATTTAGAGAAGATTAATCTGTTCAAACAACTGATGATCCAGTTTCGTTTCAAGCCCATTTGTATTCATCAACACATTTAATATCCAAAGGATTCTTGACACAGTATCCTTTCTCCAAATTTCTATGAATTAGTTACGCAATCAACCTGTTCAATAAACCTGACATGCTTCAACTTAAAAACAAGCCGGTCTGTTCACATTCCTATTTGGCCAGCCATTCAAGAACTTTATTTCTCAAGTAGCTACAAATTTTCTTTAATTTCCAATACATGAAACTAAACCCCTGTGGAGTAGTGGTACAATATTGTGTAATTTAAGATTGTCATAGAGTACATACAGAATTGAAGTTACAGACATGGTATGAATTCCACAAGTTTGTACCTTGAGCGCTGAATCTGCAGCCTATAAAAAACAGTTTGCATATAGCCATTCAAGCCCTAGCACTGAACTTTACTTCTCCTCAGCATCAACAGCAGGAGCTAAGCACTTACCAAACTTTTGCTACATGAGCTGCAGGATGAAGTAAAAATATTCACTAATACTATTGTGTGACATACGCACACCTGCACGAACTGGCACAGACAGCAAAAAGCAGGATGCGGCAAGTCCCAACTCCTCTAGTTCATACAGCTATTCAGTAATGGGAATTATTTCCATATTGTTTTCTGCATTCTTACTGCTTCCTGCATCCATCTTAGCATATTCGTACCCAGAAAAGCTGGACGTCAGCGCACAGCAAAAAGAGAAGGCTGCCACTGCATGAAAATATGATGAAAAGGCTGCTACCATTAACTGTTGCGGTTAGATGTGCAAGCAGCAGCTGAACCATGCTGACTTTGTACCACAGCGAACAAAAGCTTTCTATTCCAGACATCATCCCCAAAAGTTTTCTATTCCTCAGCATCCTAGGGACCATTCTTCTGGATCTATGTTCAGATTAGGCAAAGCCAACAAAACAGCAGACCAACAGCAGTTCTGAGACATTGCCCAGAATGCTGCTATTGCAGCTATACCATTAGCTGAGCTTGTACTCTGCAGGTGCTTCTGAAGAACACCCTCCAAAATACTCTCCCTGCCCTACTCTTTCTTCTCAATGGATTTAAAAACTTCCTCTACGAAGAAAAGGTTTGGAACCTACCAAAAAGACATCTGAGCCAGGTCTGTTTGAGAGCATAGAGGCTTTTTTAAAAGTAAGAAGCTAAATTATATACAAATTGGAGTTACTGTCTAATCCTCCATCACAGTTTCTAAATTTACACATTAAAAAAGAAAGCCAAAACATGTGTAGTTAATACTCAAGCAACCTCTATTAAAACCTCAGTAAATGTTCTTGTAAGTGCAGGGCCACAGTTTTTGTTCTGTCAAAAGAAACCCCAAGGGCTGGCAAGTGGTTGGGTTAGCGATACTTCTGCTGGTGTAACAGAAATGCCTCTAAACCTTTCTTGTCAAGACTGGGCAGCATGAACTTAAAAACTATGCAAAAACTGCTCTAACAAGTACACTGATTATGAGGCATAGTCAAGCACTCAAAAATAAATGAGAAAAAAAACCCTGAAACAACCATAAAACCAGAAGAAAGGGTGCCAAATAAATATGTAACAGATGACACAGCTCCAGATGAATCTTAAACCAGACCCTCCACAATCCAAAGATAACAGCTTCATTATGTTAGGCAAGAAGGAACTTCTTTCAATTAGCTGATAAGAATTATACCACAACAGCAATTCTTGTTATAACCTTCTATCTCAACACCAACATTCCCACACGTTCTGTCAGATACTGGTGGCTCTCCAAGGTTGCCAGGCCTATTTATTTTGCATGTAATATAGGTTTTGTTAGCTCTAATTGCTATGAACTGCACAGCAAAAACAAAAGCCAACAAATGCTGTTTCTTATTCACAAAATGCTGATGATCCACAAAACCCAAAAGCTTCAGTTATTTTTGCAAAGATAAAACACACAAAACTCCATGAGATTGGCACACAGATCAAAATGCACATAGAATAGTTCTTTGTAGCTTTATCAGCATCGAGAAATATCTGACTTTGTGCACCATGACAACACAAAATTGCAGCTCATCAGCTCTCTCTTGTCATGAAATTCTCAACATACATAACTGGAAGCCACCAAGAAGGGTGATGTTTCACAAAGCAGTAGAGCCAATGTAGCCTCTTACTGCTGCCAAAGAGAGTAATTTCACCCCTTCCCTCCCCTTTTATGCCTTACCATCTCAAGTGCTCATCTAATCCCAGTTAAGTTGATTTCACTGCACATGCAGCTTTATATGAGCACCAAAGCTCATGTGGGGATCTGCCAAGCACCAGGGGTGGCAGAAGGAGAAGGTAATCCAGATCTGGTGGAGAGAGAGAACACGACTTCCCTACCTGGTAGCAGCATGCCAGCTAGTTAGGTTCAAGCCACCTCACAAAATTTCACCCTTACTGAGCTCATGATCAAGAAGCTATTTAAAATGCACAGTGTTCAAGATTGCCATTTAAAATGCACCATTTTCTCTTCTCAGAGTTACTCTTACAACTTTCTGATTCAGTAAGATGACTGTTTAAATCCTCCAATTTCACCAACATAAACTACCAGGAATTATTATGTACTTACCCAGACCAGATATGTTTATGGCTTTGACAGATTTCTTCATCTTGTAGAGAACAGTTCGGTCAACATCCAAAGCCTAGAACAAAAGAGAAAAATCAAATGCAAAATACTGGATTGCCTTCTGGTAAACCTGTGTCCTGGAAGCCTCCTGTAATTGTAACACTATTATGTTAGTTAACATCACACACATCCAGCACCATCTAAAATGAAACTCATTACACAGTATCTTCTTTCAATGTTAAATATTAAAGAAGCTTAAAACAGTTTCAACCCATCATATATTCTGACATTGCTGAAGGTACAAGCAATATTACTTTCCCAGACAGAATATTAAAAATGGAATTTAATTTCAGTTTTCCTGAATAATACAGTTAATTAATTGCACTCCCAACCATATGAACTTTCTCACTGCTATGCTGAGCAAAATAAACTGCCTAACTCTCAAATATCTTTCACACATTTTAAAACTAAGAAAAACTTTCACCAACACAACAAAAAATTCAAGTTTAAATCTTACCCAGAATACTGAAGCACTTACAACCAATTTGTTTCAAAGAAAGAAGTGGAAGCAGGCAACCATTTTGCTTACTGAAGTGACATATGGGCAAACCCAAAAATGTACCATTGTTCCAGAACAAAGAAGCAGAATTATGATTATACAAGCAATTCAAAGCTGCAAGAAAATTGTATGAGTTCCAAAGATGGTGATGTGGTCATGTCTTTAGACCGCGTGGAAGAACGATACCGAACACTACAAATTATATTACTCCAAGAGCTGTTTAATGTGATACATGCTTAAAAAAGCAAACAAAAAGCACCAAATTAATTCCAGTTTTCATTCAAAAGATTTTAGTGAATTGCAGCAGTTACACATCTGACCTACCATTGTTTTATTGCTAGTAATTTGTGCAAGAGAAATGACATGGAAAAGTCAGTCCCTAGGACCCTATCCAATTATTTTAACATACCGAATGCAAAAAGCAGTATTACCCCTCGTATTTATGGGAGTATTCTTAAACTGAATCTATTCAGACCGCAAATAGCTGAGCAAAATCTTTGCAGCATTCCATGGAAACCAACAGATTTAGAAGTTGCCTTAACGTTAATGTTATAGTACCATGATACTGCTATATCCTTTGGAAGTTTTACCTTCAGCATCTTATAGTTCACATCTGAAACATATTAGCAGGAAAAATGTAGAGGCCTTTCCATCTGAAATTCTGAAGTACAGAGAAAGGGAAAAAAAAACCCTAAAAGGCCACCAAAGTCACACACAGCTCTACTCGCCCTCTCCAGCAATTTGAACTGCATCCACTACACCAAACCTGTAAACGGTGCGATCTCAAAGGTTAGATTAGTCACCTGTCTGGATGGGAGTACACAAAGTAAACTCCCTCACTGCGTATTTGGTGAGTTCTAAAAATAACCTCAGAAAAACACCATCTGATCAGCTGACTACAGAGGAATGATAATTTCATCAAGGACTCCATCAAAGGGCAATTATCCTCTTGGAGACAAAGTGAAAGGAATGTCTCAAACTACCAGCATTACAAATAACAGTCCAAAGAGAAAGCTGACGGACAGAGTCTCAAAAGTTACAGATTCGGTTCTCAGCCAAGACTCAGGTTTGTGTGTACAGCTCAAAACTATTTAGATCTCTGTACCTTAGTTTAGCGAAGAGGAAGAGGAAGAAAAAAAAATTACAGTACTTCTTGAAAAAACTTCCAACACTTGAAAAAGAGAAGTGTTGGAAGGATAAATGCATTCAGTAAATTATGAACTTGTATTACTGTGGTCTAGGATCCAGATCGACCTATGGATTCATAAAATCTTCTGGCCCATGACTGCCTCAGTCAAAAAGCACAGACTCTCAGTAAGGAAAAACTTCAAGTCCTCTTCCTCAACCAAAGTCATCGTTTTGGTTTACAACTTCTCTCAACCAGTTCATGCTTTCACTGTGATTAGGCAGTAGAAGAGCAAATTCATAAGACACAACATAGCCAGGGTCCAACAGAAATGGTAACTAATGCCCCAACACAACAATTTGAACATCTAGCTATCTCAGCCAGCTGCTCATATCAAAATTCAAAACAAGGATGACAGAAAAAAACCCCATACAGACAGTACTGAGGGCTACAGAAGAAGCAAAACTTAAAGCCCTGATGTGGTGAAAACATACAGGACTGCCAGGCCAGGCTTCCTTTGGTATTTCCCTTCTTCCCTTGCCTGCCTTTTCAGCTGTGGCAGCGCAAGTGCTTGAGGAGATGCTGTAAACTACAGGAGAGAAGCAATCTCTATTTAAAATGACGTAAAGGAAATAAATAATTTGTCAGTTGCTTTCAGGCAGTCAACCCCTTTATACAACACAGCCCAATGGAAAAGACAATGGGAAAAACAGGAATGAGTAGGAGGACCGACATACCCAGGTGCTCCTGCACAAGAATCCTCCTGGGATGTTTCTGAACAACAATTCAGTAGCTGCCTGAGTGCAGTGAGCACTTTTACTATGCTGCTATTTCTACCAGCTATTTTTTTTTTTTTAACCCTTAACATTACATTAGTCCAAACATTTCTTCACATATTCATTTGCAATAGAAAAGGCTTTGTAAGTTCAGTTTGTCTGGAAACCACTGCCACCTTTTATTGGTGATAGCAGGTACCGAGTCTGCAGAACAATGCTAAAACATTCAGGGAACCAATATGACTAAAGCAAGCTAAACACCACCTTCACTAACGCTGACCTAGCACTGACTTTGCTAGCTGAGGACTTTGCTCAGCCTCTGTTCAGGTAGATGATCCACTCCAAAGCCATGAAAAACAGTGACAAGTTAATCCAGAGGCAAAATATCCCACCTTTATAGAAAAGCAACATTGATTCAACTCATTTCTTCCCTCTTCCAGTCAAAAAAGAAAAACAAAAAACAAAACCATAAAAAGTAAAGAAGTAATATGTACCAGTCAGTACTCCGTGCAATTGTATTTGCATATAAAGCCTAAAAGAATATTGTCATTAGCAAAATGAACAAACTGTCACAAAAATATCCTATGTTTCATTCTTTAAGAGTGCTCTATTTATAATCGAATTCATTGATGTGATTAGTGAGAGCAGGAAGAAATTTAACAGTGAAGATTGCAAAGTTGTGTATCCAAGGGAAAAATCCATGTATCAACTGGGAGCTCAGGCAGAAAAACACTCGGGAGAATAAAGGGCTTTAGCTTCTCAGATACTTGCAGAACCACCATGGGGTGCCAAAGTGATACAGCCATAAGAAACAAAACCATGAAGACACAGGAGATCTTCCACCAAAGCCAAGGGAACAAATAAACAAAAAAAGAAGTCACTAAATACTACCTACTCATTGGAATACCCAAAAGGTCCAGGTCCACAATGCTGATCTTAAAAGCTTACCTGTGGCACTGAAGCACTGGATTTTTGACTCTGATAACCACTTACAGAAAGATCATACACACAAAATGGGAGGCAAAGTATGGTTTCATCCACCAGCATGTGAAGTATGGAATAAAAAAGTCTTTATTGAACTGCACTGGTTTATAATTATATTACTGGGAATAAGGTGTAGAAAACCAAAATTGGCTACCTCAGGCAGATAGCTAGAGGGAATTGAATCACAGTATCAGTGGTTTGGATTGGAAGGGTCCTTTAAAGATCATCTAGTCCAACCCGCCTGCAATAAGCAGTGCCATCTTCAACTAGATCAGGTTGCTCAGAGCCTCATCCAGCCTGACCTGGAATATTTCCAAGGATGGGGAATCCACCACCTCTCTGGGCAACCTGTGCCAGTGTTTGCCCACTATGCAAATATAAATAAATAAAATACACAAAATGCTTCAATAAACAATAATAATAAAATTTTGAAAAGCGTAAAATGTAGAAAGAACAAGCTGTCCTCCTGAAATAATCCCTAGTCACCCAGAGTGTCTGGGCTATTATGTAGACAACCAATGATCAATACAATTTTGTTTGGGTAACTGATTGCCCTTACCTTGTGATGTTCATTTACCCTGTCAGACAGGCTGTAGGTAGCCTCCTCCCTCCTGAATGGAGAGGGTCCTACCTAAAGTCCTTACTGGTGGCAATAAAGAAGAAAAACACAAAAACACCGAGAAATAGTAAACTAAAAAATAATGTTAGTGTAAGAACAGCTGAGTTAAAGCTGTACCTGAACAAACTGCAACTAGGAATTGGGAAAAACAAATAAAATACTGGAAAGCTTTCCAAACAGGAGACAAAATGGACCTGAATAAATTTATGAAAGATTATTATGTTTATTCCTATTGTGGTAAGAAACTAGACTTGCTTCTGTGGGAGGTTTCCTCTAGTCCTCCATTCCTTTGCAAAATCTCTTGATAACACTGCATTTAAGAGTGGCACTTTATGCCTGCAAACTAATGGCCAAAACACTGAAAAACTTTGCATCTTTAGTTCTGTATTTTAGTCTTGCTTATAGACCAAAAACTGGGGAGGGGGATTTTGCCTATGTTTAATTGAAAGACAATGGTTCTTATTCACAACTAGTGTTTCAAAGGGGTGATTTCAGCATAAAATTTTGACTTTAGCACTGTTCTTCACATTTTCTCATCCTTTCCTTTGCCCAAATCTTAGCACTTAGAAATCAGTTTAAATAAAACTGTAGTTTTATTATACTTTGAATTTCTAATCCTGCATTTGTTTCATAAATACATACACACTACGCTGACATTCACACACATGCCAAAACGCTACCTTCCCCTATCTCAACTGCTTTGTGCACTTTCAGTACTGCCAGAAGCAGTGAAATTTAAAATGGCTTCTGACATTGCATATTCTAGTGTTTCTTTTTACACACTTAGAATGCCCAGCAAACTTCTGAACCAGAAGAGTGACCACGTAATTCATATGGTGTAATCATTTTGTCCTCTCATGTAATACTTCTAGCTTTGACTCAAAAAACTCCAGCGCAGGACTGTTTATTTTGGCATGTTTATTTCAGTACAATGTAGTCAGAGGCCATATAAATCATTTTCATAGTCCCACTCAGTTTCAACTGATGAGCACTCAGACTTCCCTCTTTTTAA